TTTTCGCCCTCAGGATCCGTGAGTCCAGGGTGGCGCCTGAAGTAGTGACAGACTCTTACGTCGCTTAATGCAACTGATTACCTGATGTTTTGCTAAAAGAAAAAACTATCCAAAGAGTAACAAAATATATTGCTTTGATCGCAAATTTATTTGACCACAATAATATTATCTTAATTTTTGCGGTAGCTGATTGTATATGTTTTTTGCAGGTTCTAATGATGTACATTACACCCGGACGCCTAATCTTTTAATTGCACGGTGCTTGATTGTCCGTATGAAACGAAATTCTTTGGAAACCTGGAAGAGACACATCTGGAGCCAGAGAACACCAAATATATGGCACCGATTCTCCTCGTGCTTCCGCTCGTCAGCACTGGTGCGATCTATGCTCGAGGGGTTACGCGACGCTGAAAAGTTTGAAGCAGCACATGGCGAGGGTGCATCAGGAAGGCCAACGGGCTTCTAAAATCAGTTGTGAGACCTGTGGACATATAGCATCCACCCAAGAAGCTCTGACCCGCCACTTTCAAACAATGCACGATGAAAAGTATGGTTTCTTCATTCCTGCGGCGATGATCTTTAAAAGGTATGAGGTCACGAAGATTGTGCTGGAGAGTGAGGAGGTTTTCAAACAATGGATGAAAACTATCCAAAACGAAAGCTGCTCTTCCTTCTTTCTACGGCGATCTTCCGGTTCTAACACTTATTACCGCTGCTGTTACGTGCGGGTCGGACGGCGGATGGTAATGCAGCAAACGAACAAGACAGCTGCACTGTGGTTTGTATTGGTTTCGCCACAGCATATACAAATATAGAACGCCTTTGGGTAGTACGATCGCCGATTCCCGGAGAAACATCGGTTAAATATTGCGCCGCGAAACATAGTCACGATTTTGACTGAAGCTGATAATATTCGAAGGAAGCCTTCTCAGAGGATAAAAATCCCCCACTTTACTGGAACTAGGTATGGTGCAGTGAAATAGTACAGTCCTTGGGGGGTTGATAACAAAACGATCGTAAAATGAACTCATGTGCCCCATATCTTCTTCATGAGGAGAGACCAATCTGCCACGATTTACACATGTGGCTGGAAGACGTCCGCCGCATCAAGGAGCGCTTTCTAGCCCATCCCTGGCCGGCATCACAAAGAAGACCTCATTTCTCTGCAAACAATTTTTGGAAGGATGTACGGACGAGATGATTGTTCATTACCAGCTTCAGCATAATCCGCCTTCAAAGCAAACGGGATTTATTCTCCGCAAAAGAATAAAATAGTTAAGTATTTCTTTGATCTGATGACCCCATCTCAAAAACAATGCCAGCATAAGTGCATGGCATCGTGGCGTCGTTTTGGACGACACGCACGCTGTATCTGGCCAAGCACTTTGAGTGCCGACTACAATGCTGGTGTTGGATGATCATAATCGTCATGCCGGTCGCGTTTTTGCCTGCGGCCAGGTTCGGGAACAAGAGGTTAAAGTCCTCTTCGACAGCGTTCGCAAGAAAGCACCATTATAGACCTAAAACTGAACCACATTATGGTTTCACTTCCCTGAATCTGATCCACATACCCTAATGACGGACGATGGACGGGGCCTTCTGAAACGCCTTCAAAGCAGTTTTCCCAGACTTGCGCCTGGCAAGATTCCTATAAAAGTGGCACCAGCTCAAAACCCTCCGGAAGAACACCAAAAAGCTGAAAAACGTTTGATAATCAATTATTGACACATTTGTTTTAGGCATCGTTAAAGGAGCAGATCATGGATAGCCTCAGAGTATTGTTTAATATAACAGACACCGAGGAGTTCACCATGAAGCTCAATGATCTTGAACTATTCTTAAAAAACAACGAAGAGCTAGAATTTTGGGCTTATTTCCAAGTAAGTAACACATCCAGAAAATAGAAGGACATTTTTTAGAAGAAACATCTGTCACGAAAGGATGAATGGGCTGCATGGGCGAGAATCGAGGCACCATTTCAAACATCTATGGCTGCCGAAACGTTTAACCGGCGTCTAAAGGGAGAAATTTTGATGGGAAAGACCGGAGGAAGAGTCGACATTCTTGTGCATCGCTTGATCGAATACCCCGTTAAATACCGTGCACATCTCGCCGTCCAGGATGCTCGCTTTGCCACTACAACGAAGCGCCAACAAGAGAACAAGCGACGACATAAGCGAGCGGTCGAATCACCCATTGTCAACATTCTAAAAGAAAGCGAAAATATTTACGTCGTACCTTCCTCTGACGATACACGGGTTTATCGAGTAATCCGCTACAGAAGTTGTCCGTGTGACCAGGTAATTCACGTTTCTATAAAAAAACAGATAAATTAAGTTAAAAAACATGCACTGCTCCGAATGCGCTGCCTGCCCGTATTCCTGGACATGTGAGTGCCCGTCTAATACCATGTCGGGTATCAGCTGCAAGCATATCCACCTAGTCAATCTAAAGAGTAAATTTCTTAAACTAAAACCAAGCCCATTCAGTGACTCCATCCCAGCCGCGCCTTCATGCTTCGCAGGTCAATCTTTTGGGCACGAGTAACCAACTTGATTACGCTGACGATCATTCTGCAGGAGAAATTCCGGATTGGTTCGATTAAAACTATGTTCTCATAATAAAATTTAATTAGGAACAAAGAAAATGCTACTCTTGAAATCAGAAAAGAACCTCGTCCAACGATGATGCCCGAAACATCGCATACTCAATTCAGAGCACACCCCGGAAGAACTTCACAAATCGTAAGGAAACACAATATATAACCTTAATTTAGAATATCACCGCATTACCTTTTCTGCGCATGACCTATGATGCCGATCCGGATAGTGCCGACGGTCTAGCATTCCTAGAAAAGATGAATGAAACAATCGAAAAATTGAGCCAAGAGTTCAAAGGCAGACAAGGCTCCAGCTCCAAGGATTTGGCAATTCGCAACCGAAGGGACGGTCCGATTCGCGAAGCCTTTGAAGCGACTCCACGCCGAAAGACTTGAGCACCGCGCCGAGCATAACAGGAAGTTGGCCCAAAAAAGGAAAGCTGAATAGTTTAGTGCATCTTCTTGTTATCTTTGTTATTTTTTGTTGTTGTTATTTATAAATTGACTAGTCGCCGAATTAATCATAGAGACGCAATGTGTGCTTGCCATTAGAACCTGCAAAAACATATACAATCAGCTACCGTAAAAATTAAGATAATATTATTGTGGTCAAATAGATTTGCGATCAAAGCAATATATTTTTGTTACTCTTTGGATAGTTTTTCTTTCAACAAAACATTCGAGTAATCAGTTGCATTACGCGACGTAAAAGTCTGCTGTCACTGCTAAGGGCGCCCTGGACTCGCAGTCCTGAGGGCGAAAAAACCGGCCCGT